ATCAGATGTAACATTGATCAGAGTGTAACAAACGTTCTCTGCAGCTGTCATTCTGCTGGTGGGCTTGTGTTAGTTTAGAAGAATCCCAATGGATGTCGCTCACTGGATAATACCTATGTGAAACAGAAAAATAGTATATTTAGTAAATGGTAGAGAAAACATTTACAAAGACACAGTATAAACAATATAAAAACAGCATTGGTGGGATATATAACTACAAAGATGTCCACATAGACAGAACAAAATCTGCAGAAACATATAAATATGATGAAACTACTGTACAGCATCATGTGTATAAAACAGAATATAGCACTGCGGGTCATATTTCATTTCCTTCGCAGCAGCCAAAGAAGGCATGGCAAACCTTATGCGGTATGGGACTGGAAAACTTTTGCGCTTTTAAAAACCCAGAACAGTCACCCAGGTGTAAATCACAGGGCTTACATTTAGTGGAAATAAATGCTCTATTATGCTCATAAAAAGAGCTAAATCGCTGAAACGCATGTTATTCCAAATATAACAATTTCTTATTTACTTTAATTAATCTGCAATGTTTCCTTCCAGAGTCCTTTGAAAGAAATACATATCAGAAAATTGGAAACCTTAAGTAGTTGTGAAAGGGTGTTCCCCCTGCCATAGACTTGTGACCTGACCTGGTGATTTTCTGCATGGGACTCAAAGCATGCTGGGATTAGGGCTGGGCGAATCGGGATCTGCTTCAGACCATCTATAACCTTGACCAGAAAAGCCTACAAAGTGATTATTTAAAGTGATCAGGCATTTGTTTCAGAGGCAAGTATGTAATCCCTGTAAAACTCTTTCAGGAAAAAATTCTGCAACAGATAATCCCACACAATATAAAGCCGTAAACACAATGGGTTATCTCAGGCCCGATAATAATAGTAAGTCTTAAATCAAACACACAGTTCCTGGAATCAACATCGCCAAACACAAAAAAAAAAAGTTATGGAGTTCATCAGTGTTACAATGTGTTGAATTCTGACTTACGCTCACAACATAGTATAGTTATGCTATAGCATATTATTTAAAGAAAAGGTGACAGTGCTGTATACAGTAACTCATTCTCGAAATAAAAATGTAGATGTTAACACTTGAGAAAACATATTCATGACAACAACAGTTTGTGTTTTAAAAGGTTACATTTTTAAATAAAACAGCATCATCTGAATATGAAGCGTGAGTTTAAAAAAAAAATGTGTTGAGCTGTCATGGAGGAATCACAACAAAGAAAATTTTTCACTAAACTAAATCTTTAACTGTGGAAGATACTCACTTGATTTGCCCAAGGCAGACAGGCTTATGTCCTGAAATATTGTCAACAGAACTTCTAAACAAACTAACACCCTGACCATCACCAAAAGAATTCTATTATGAACACTTAAAAGCATCTACTAAATGGCTCGCTTGTTTGATTAATGTATTGCGTTATTAGTTATTCTTGTAGAGCAATTGCTCACAAGAACAACATGCTGCATCGCATAGCTGGATTATGTCTGCGTTTGTGTTGCATCAGACAAAGAATCCTATTAATAAAGGCCTGGTCAATCAGGTTAATAGACGAAAATTAAACAGCCTGTCTGCATTAAGGATGTAAACATGACTTGCTTCTCGAAATGCCGGTTGGTAACTGGGCATGTATCTATCTTATCTTTGTAGCAGTGACAAATAGAACTGCAATTAATTAATTTTAAATACAAGCTGATTAGTAGATCACCTGTATGACGCAGGTCCCAGCGAACGCAAGCAAAACAGACAGGTAAGTTATGTAAATTATAAAAGTTTAAAATGGATTTGGTAATGTGAAAAATACAAATATCTGTGGGAAACTAAGTTACCTGGTTTCTTTTGTTGACTAAGTGTGTCTATAACAAAAGAAGGAGCTCAATTACTGCGGAGCTGTCTTTGAACAGATTTACAGTTAACTTAGCTATATTACTCACGTTTACATGGTTCTGAAATATTCCTGCCTTTTTTGCTGCTTTTCTAGTGTAGATTACTAATCTCGCGCTGTCATCAAAACACAGGGAAGAGCAGTGTGACGGCAAAAACAGCTTTATAGTGTAAATGTTACGTTAGGATAATTAGGCAAGTCAAAAAAAGTGTGACACGCAGCGTTAAAACCCTCATACAACACTGAAGCAAACTGACTAACGCTACTATTGTGGCGTTAGCTCACAACTGTGCAATAAAACACCAATAAAATGCAAACATAAATTAGTTAGTTGACCATTCAATCAGTAACATTAAGTTAAAACATATGATCAATTGCTAAAGAGAGATCGTTAGCTAACGCCAGCATAGCTTCTGCACAGGCTAGCAATGAAATGGAGGACATTATCATTAGCTAACGTTAACGGTCTTAACAGTTACCACGGGTCAGGAAGGAAGACATCGCTCACGTTGGTTAAGTAACCTACCTAATAGCAACACTGTTACCCTCCGAAGTGGCCTCTGATATCCAGTTTTGGATATTTACATCTGTAAAAAGAATCTCTGGGTTTCCCTTTGACGAGCTGTGTCTTCTGTTTCCACTACTTCCTAGTGACGTGGAAGATTACTTTCTGAGCCACATCACTGCTACGGTGCGCCGGAAGGTTCAAACTCGAGAGCAATGATGGTCAACACGAAAATAACAGGATTTCCATTCAAAAAACAGACCACCACTGTTGTTATATTGGACATTTTATATTTGCATAATACATAATGTATAATAACAATGTATATGTTTGTGTGTATGCCATCTGTGAATTTAAGGACCCAATCAATATGAAGCAAGATTGTCCAGATTCCCTGTGAATTCTGACTCCATTTTCAATCCTTTTGATCCCCCACCCTCAAGATGAACTGGAAAAGAAAAATACATCTGGGTAGCTGTGTGACTGTGACTCTGACAGACTGTGATAAACAGCTGAAATATTGGTGTTTTTCGTAGAATTTTCACAATAAAGCTGATTAAGACTTGACCACATGATCATTGTAACATTTATGTATTTATTGTAAACATTTCATTAAAGAGACAAAATATAAATTCAAAAACACAACTACAAATTATAATGTTGGACATAATCATCTATTATAGTTAAGTACTCAGTATCAGTTGTTTTGGAGAGTGTCCAACATTTTCACAGTGACTAACAACTTCCACTTCAAATTGAATTCAATACACATATTTACACAAGTTTACTTAGTGTTAAAGCGTAGCATTGATAAAGACAAAAAAACTGGGGGAACAAAAATCATATTTTATGCCATTAAATGTAGACACCAATGTCAAGATACATTAAAACCTAAATGGGAGTATACACTTCAAATGATTGTTTCATCAGGCATTTACTTTTTAAAGACATGTCAGGTGCCACCACTGAATATACAGTCTATGGGTGACACACATTTAGTGACATGGGTTCATAAAATTTTTATTTTAGATATTACATCCAAGGTAGCTTTTCATGGATGTGAATCCATATAAATCAGGAGGTGTGCGGTCCAAATGGTAAACCCAGTGTCTATCATGACCTATTATAACTGGGCCCAATTTAAGCAAACTGAAAACCTTTATATTTTCTCTGACTTTATCGATTATCAGGCCATTATTAGTTGCGGTTTGTGTCTGTGACGTAGATTCAGGGTTTGTCAGTTTATTGTGGATGGTTTGTGTTTTCTCTCTTTTCTTTTGTTGCTGTTTGTCCTTGCATTTTATTCTTGTGTACGTTAGTTGTTGCTGTACATGCATTTAAGTGTAAAGCACACTGAGTTTTTCTGTGATGAAATGTGCCATTTATTGATAAAACTGCCTCGCCTTTCCATAGACCTTTTTCACAGCAGACATTTTATCAGGTGTAGTTAATTACATTAAAGATGGATCAGTTTTATTACGGGGGTTCACTACGCATGCACAATGCAAGGAGTCTTGGCAAACTAAATGTTATGCAGTAATTCTTACACCTGTGCCTTTCCTGATGTGGAAAAGGTCTATGTGGCAGCTCCAATTTTAGTCTGTAACTTCTTTCTTCTGCTGTTGTGACTTGTTACAGTTTATACGACTGGACTGGACAATACAAAACTAACAGAATGTTATGTGAAAATGTGGGTAAGAACTTGTTTGCTTAAGTTGGCAGTTTTCATGGAACACGTATGAATATTATCTTCAATTCTAAGAGTTTAAAGTGTTCTTCGTGAACATGCTAACATTATGTTCTGTTTAAGATGTCAACACGCTAGCTTACGTTTGTGGAAAGTATCTGTGTATATAGCTAGGTAGCTAGCTAACGTATCCAATGGGTCCTTTTTTTATAACCACTCATGACCAATGACTTTGACTGTGCCAAATATGTAAAACGATATTTATTAGAAATCATACCAGCTTGTCTAGCCTGTCAGAGTGCTGATCTGGTCAATTGAATCGACAATCCACTTGGCAAGTTCAAGGCAGGCGAACCAAGCGAACCCAGAGCAGTATGATGCAGCGACACGCAGTGGCAACACTTCGACCGAAAGGCCAATTTATTTTAAAATGGTATTGATTGCTTTAATTATACAGTTAATTAGACTCTGGCCAAGCAAATTTAAATTCTATGCGTAGATGAGAAACTGGGTCATGAGAAGTTATTGACACTTTTAACAAACTCTGCGACTGTTGACTCAAATCACATATTATTTTATCTCCATTTAAATTGTGATATTCAAATTGTGTACAGGTGAAATCAAGTCTAAAAACACTATGTTTTAAATCAATATTAACACATAATACCCTACATAAAGACTGTACCTGAAACAAGTACACTTGTCGGATTGGAACAGATGTAACGTTAAGTTTCAGGGATAGTTTCTTTATTTAATGAGAATTTAAAAGAAAAGAAAATTAACTGCAGCCTCAGAGTTTATTGATTGTATTATATTAGATTACTGATGCAGCTCAGGATTGGTTCAGCGCTCCACAGTACAAAGTTGTGGCCTCTAGGCGGCGACAGAGAGCCCCATTTCTGTAAAAACAACATCTCACCTTCTTTCTTTAGTCCAAGTGCTGGAGCACGTTTGAGTGATCATGGAGTACATTTACTGTCATGTAGTTCAGCGTTAATACGGCGTGAATATCATAAGAGGGGGACTTCTGCGTGGATACGAGGAGCCACAGTCATGGCTGCACGGGAGGAAGGAGAGGTTTTGCACAGTAAAATAAGGCACCACGACGGAGCTGGAAGTGTAAACAGCTCCGAGGGCTTCAGGAACGGCTATGTGAAGAGCTGCGTCACCCCTCTCAAAGAGGACCATCAGAGGGGATTTTTGTTTAACGTGTGCAGGTTTTGCAACGAAGACGTACTCAATTCCAAATTGTTAAAGGTCTCAGCTCTCTACGTCGGCGCGTTTGTAATCTTCGCGCTTTCTTTCCTCATTTCTAGGAGCTTGCAAAGTGACTCGCTGTGGGATTTGCGGACTTTTTTGTCGGCTTTCTCCCAGTCCATCAGCCCTTTATTCAGCATAGGATGTGCTTTCTTCTTTCTAACGTTTTACCTGAGGAGGAAAAAGAGGGAGAGCAGTAAATGTTGGCTCGTGTCACTGCCAGCATCGTGTTACCTCGGGGATTTTTTGGTTTTGCGGTTTCTGCAATGGGGAGAGGACCAGCACCAGATGCAAATGGTGGGCAGGTTGTTATTCGTGTTGGGATGTGTGGGTCTCCTCACGCTGATCCCCACTCTCAAACTCAAACACAGTGTTCTCATACTGGTTTTCGCCAGCATTGTGTGGCTGGTCTCTTTTACAAGTTTGAGCGGTTTGCCTGCACTGCTCAGACCGCTCTTCGCCTGCTTTGCGGGGGTTTCTGGCTCCCTGTTGGGGCTCTGTTTTGACCATTACTACCCGTCGAGGGAAGCACCGAGTGGGATTTCCACCGCGGAGGAAAAGGTGCCTGTGATCAGACCTAGGAGAAGGTCCAGTTGTGTTTCACTGGGGGAAACGTCGACAAGCTATTATGGCAGTTGTAAAATGCCTCGCAGACCTTCGTTGCCCTGTATATCCAGAGAACAGGTAGGTCTCTTCCCTGCAGGACCACTGTTGTGTTTAGTTCAAAAGTAGGCCCACTGATCCTCCACAGCCACCCCGAGTGCACATGTGCACCAGAAGAGGAAAACACCCAGTCTCATGTCATGAAAATGCAAATCAATCTACTGACTTGCAGAAGAAACATTCCCTCACATAACAAAAGCAGTTTGGCTGTTTAATCAAGTAATCAGCCTAATGTGATATATTCAATAAGTAAATGGCTTTTAGTTAAGGAAAACATTTTCTGCTAAAAAACAAACATTGTATTGTGAATGATTTAACTAGGTCATCACAGACTCTTTCAGTTTGCAGACAATTACATATAAACATTATTTTTTGCAGTGTTATTATACAGGCCCTACATGTGTTAGAAATATCAAGCAAGGGCTCTGTCCAAATAAACATTTTTCAAATTTAAATTATAGCATTTCAGTCAAAGTGAAAACGTGTTTTACAGCCTATAAATATTTACATTTTAATATCTATATTCAACATGCCATATTGTGTGCAGTCTACCTGCTAACAGCACTTCTTGCCATCACGCCATCATTAATGTTTGTCTACATTGTGTTGGGAATATATTCATTAAAAAAGTAAATCTACCAAATAATCAGTCAATTGTGAGGGGCTATCTACACCATGCTGCGGGGATAACAACACAACCATCAGCATAGCAAGAGATTTGGACTAAGGTCCCATCTGACTGTAGCAGTCAACAAAACAAAATTATGTTGAGCTCACACTGGGATTATTCAGTGTCTACAGTCCACATTCAGCGTGTGTTTCTTTTCCTTTTTGTTTACTTGTATACACAAGCCCATTCAAGCTGTAGAAAACCAGTCTGTTTACATAGAGTAGCTAACAGGTCCACTGCAAAGTGATGCTCCTTTCTGCTTTGCAACATTTTTGTAAACCAATACACCTATATCGAGTGATGTCCATATAAAATAAAGGCTATCATGTGGCATGCATTATGTTGTGGACAAAAAAAAACTGATGCAAGCTGTTGTTGTAATGTGTGTAGACAATTGCCAACCTTATTGTCAGTATTATAGTGGTGTCTAGTAGTTTATTTAAAAACAACACATTATGTTATTTAGTGGATGCCAAACCATCAGCTCACACGCATTGTTTTTGCGTCCTTCGACCTTTGTTAGAAGTGATAAGAGAACTAAAAATGTATATCCAGTTTGTCTCAGTTGTGCCATTTCCAGGAGTTGTTTTTCACTTCATTGTGTTTTAGGCTATTAGCAGATTAGCAGTCACATTGAGTTAGGCCTTAAACAGTGCATGGAAACTAAGAGAAAAAACATTCAAAACATCAAGTATGAATATGACCACAGACTTTAAGAACGTTATTTGACTACATCATTTCACCTTTTGCTTTTCCTATGTGATACAGAAACAGAATGGACTTTATGTGTGGAAATTAGCAAGAAGCAAACAATGACATATCTTTTTTTTTTTTTTAAGGCAAGCTTTGTGATGGGGGCCTCAGATCCAGCTAAATCCAAGTTGAGATGTTGAAACCACAGACTTGATTTTTGCCTAAAATATGTTTCTCCAACCTTATTTGCTGAAAATGTGTAATATAGTTAAAAAAATAAATAAATAAAGAGCTCAGGAAATTTTATAAAGTGGTACATTTTCTTATGAGAACATTCCCATTTGACACAATCGACACCCATTGTAGTTAGTTACTTGACTTGCAACTTAAAATGTACTTCAGAGTTGACATATTCAGGGGCTGGAGCTTCACCTGAAACTGACTAATGTCTGGAGTACAAGTGAATTGCTCTCCCTTTTTGTGTCAGTTAGTTTTCCAGTGTCTTTGTAGGTAGGTATATACAGCACATGCTACACTTAAAGTACTACACCATATCATTCTCATTTGGAAAGTTGAAACAGGACATTGCTTCTGTTTTTGATTAAACAAACCATGTATTTTTTAATTGGTAATTATTTCTTAAATTGCTACATTAATTGTTACCATTGCCAACCAGATTATATAAACCCTCTTTTATACTGTGTGAAATTGCAAAAACATAAATTGGAAAATGTGTGAAAAGAACAAAAGGTGGTGGATAAGAGGTTAGTGATTGTGTGTTGTGCCATTTTATCAGCTGAATATCTAATGTACATCACAATCCATATTGAGTAAAAAGATAAATGGCAGGCCTGCGTCCTCATCCCTCTGTCCTTTTAAAAAAATGTATTTGGGTGCCTCTCTGCCAGTAAACATTTATGTCAAAGTCAAGTTTTCCTTAGTGAGTGAAAGGGACAAACTAAATACACTCCATAATATTACAGTTTGTGTGGCTTTCCTCTGGGAAATGCCAGACAGGTGAATTAAAGTCTGAATCGTCCGTTAGTTGTAAATGTTGTGGTTAGTGTGTCCGTAGGTGTCAGCCCTATGATGCAGCTTACTGGCAACCTGTGTGAGGTGTTGTGCTCACTGCATGCTGGGATAGATCACACTCACTGCGATAATGTGATGGCCTATAATATTAGCTGTGTAGCCCATAACGTAGGAAAGAGCTGTTGTAGATGTTCCCGTATGTTAAAAAAGTTGTTTTCTTGTCAAGTGTTTTAAAAAATTTAGCTACTGAAGGCACCAACCTTTTCCTTTCCTGGGTTTGATTATCAGGAAATATAGTCAGTGAAGAACTGTAAAGCACAAGAAATCATATTTTGTGATCTAACTTCTCTACTTATAAATGAGTGATTTTATTGAAGAAGAAAAAAAAACGGATGGCGAAAAGAGGCACAAAGGAGTCACTCAGGGTTCACTAGTGATGTCACAAGTCTTCTTCGTCTTCACACATTTTACACACAAAACAGTCAACCCCACCTTTCTGCTATCTGAGAGGCTCATTAGTTTTCTGTCTTTCATCTGCAAAGAGGCAGGTTGTTTTTTATTAGAAGCAGCATATGGTTTTATATACTTTAAGTTCATAAACACCATGAAAGAACAGTTGTTTAGAGTTTTGGCGTCATGTAGATGAAAGTGAAGGTGTTTGTGTCAGGATAATGGACACAAATGTGTCTTGAAACAAAGTAAACATGGAAAAGGCTTGTTTTAAAAAAAAATAATAATAATAACGGTCACGTACTTGTTAAAGTCATGTAACAGAACACCCCCCAACAAAATATCCTGTCAGTTTAACCAACGTTTGTGCGGATTATAGATTACACTGCAGGTAACTACAGCAGCAGTACTTTTGCTTGACGCTGTATAACTAACAGAGAACTCTAACTGGTGAAATCCCCTTATATTAACTATATCAATTCCATCCATGGATATTTTTTTTATCATCATTGTCAGTTGGAAATAAGAAAAGTTGATGTTTTGAGACTCAACAATGCACTGTTGCATTGCACTGTTGCATTGCACTGGTTGCTCTGTCAGCAAGTGTCTATAACCTATTCTATTTACCTATCATGAGAATCCTTTTGACATTTTACATTCATGTTTGAACCATCCAATGTGCTTGTCATAATCACTCCATTAATGTGAATGACATACTGTTTTGCAAGTCGACACCATCATGAGAGTCACCAGGGTGAGAGATGTGCCACCACACACCTGCTACGTATGTGCCAATTAAAATATTTTGCTTGTTTTTATTTGTTAGGCTTCATTTGTCATGTGCACGAGAGAAATTAGTAAATTCATTCTGTTGTTTCAAATTAAGGACACGGGTATGAATTACAAACAAAATGAAAACATTCAAGGTTTCAGATGTTCTGTCACAGCAATTTCTTCACCCACCAGAAGTGATTTGCTACAGAACCCAGAGCCACCTAAAGGTATTATCTGGTCATCTCTCTTATGTTTCGACAGAGGCTACTGCTATTGTTGTTGTTAAAGGTACACTGAGGAGTTTTTGGCCACTAGTGGTACTGTAGAGCAACACTTTGATTAAAATGAACGAGAATGTTATTTGTCTTTGACATTCTAACAGCATGCACACAAGGCTGCACATGCCAAAATTAATTAGCGGTTATGCTAAAAAAGGCTAATTAAACTCCTGCTTTTAATGTTCCTAGGACATTATAGTTGCTAGCTTGACCTGCATGTCATATTGCCATAACAGTTATGTTTACCTCCGGACATTTCTGGCCTTTTTAAAATTAAAGTTAAAGTGGCTTTATGGCAAACCCAGTGGATTCATACTATTTAACATATTAACAGTTGGAGGTGGTCCTAAAAGTCAGTTATGTGCCAATACATCTTTTAGAGTGCCTGTCTGTGGACAGTGCCTATCATGTGGAACTGTACAAGACCTCAAGCATTTCAAGAGTTAATTTTAAGGTTTAAAAGTTTACAAATGAGCAACAAATAGGCTACCACCACACTGTACATACTATGTCATACATCACATACAAATTTAGAACACCTAATTCAAATTCAGCTGTGTGATGGCACAAATTTCACCAGGGACTAGTCTGTTTACCGTTTCAACACATTGATGTAATTTTTTTTAACACTAAGATGATGTAGGCCTAAGTAGCAGGTACACACATACCAATCAAGCAAATGTTGCTAACTACTCTTAAGTTTTAGTTATTTTTAAAAATCTATTTTTTATAGTACAAGCTAAAACAAAAGATTTATTCGTTCACACCCTGTCACCATGGCTTTAAAAATGTGTTCTTTGTGTATTCTAAATTGTACTGTTCTACGTGACAGTCATTATCTGTTTGAGATCTTAAAGAAGGAACCAAACAAAAATGAGAGTAACTGTTAAGGAAAAGATTGCTTTATTAGGTCAATTTCTTAGATTTCTTTGCTGGTACGCAATGTTATGTTAGTGATCGGTGGCGGTCTCTGTAGCTGAGCACATCTTTTTTTATTGTTGGTAGAATCGTTACATCTGCCAGACTGACTTGGAAGGAAATCTGCCATCTTCATCGTCGTCACTGTTATACACAATGTATTGAAACTGCTCATTTAGAATTCATGTAACGGGACAAAGGTTTCT